GTCTAACTCAGTACGCTTCCTATGAGACAAGTCAGTTAACTTTGTAATATTAACGCGTAAAATTCACTACAAAGAAGTATCAGCGCTTGTCAACAAACATTAAAAAACAGGTTTCTCGTCCCGTTACTCGATCAGAAGGCCACTTTCGATATCTTCTTTCGTTTGAAATTCACAAGTCGTTTTAGATTAGGTTGCAATAAACACATTCGGCCTCTCAGACCTATTAAAACAGTTTCAAAATATAGATCGGTTGAAAATAATTACTAAGCTAGCTCCCGGATATCTCAGCACTGGCTGGAATCTTGATCTTCCTAAAGCGCCGTATCCTGTAAATACAACCTCGTATCGATGTCTCAAGCGCTCAGGATGCGAGCAGTACAGTACTCCAAATATTTTTAATACTATCAACTCATGACTTTTCGTTGAATTGCTCCGAAGTGAAAAGGAGGAAACAAAGTAATCCGAACCCAAACAAACGAAGAATGCACTAATTTGGTGCTATTGTAAAATTGGCACTGACACCATAAAACCGAAAACGAAATTTACGTTTACCTTATCCTTTTCTCCATTTTGTGCCCACCATTGCAAACGTTCTGTGAAAACACATCAGAGGCTTTAAAGTTCATATTCAGATCCATTTGTAGCGCTTCGAAATGCGTGCATGCTTGGCGCACAGGAAATTGACCGGAAAGTCACGCAACCGTGCGCACGAGCACACCCGTCGCTATTATGCAACAACATTTCGCAACAGTTTGAAAATACAGCGTTGGTCATATATCCTTGTTTAACTCAGTCTCTTCGTTTCTTGAATGGCTCACTGTAGCTACAAAAAAATTCTAGGTAAGGGCACCCCTTCCCATGGCCAGGGCACACCTTGCGGTCAGTTCGCAGATTACACTGGTCAGCTGGAATGTATTGCGCTCAAAGACTATACAAAGAACTAACTGGCCATTTAAAGACCGTAAACATCAGCGCAGATGAGTGTTTGGGATCTGAAATAAAGTTGCTGTTAGCCAGAGCAGGTAAATTCCACCCTAAAATATAATATTTTTATCAGCTATATCATTATTATTATTATTATTATTATTATTATTATTATTATTATACGTTTTTCTTTTTACCATCATGCACTTGAAGGTGGTTATTCTCAACACATCATTCTCCTTCTAGGGGTTTTCTCAGTTGAAGA